TCTCTCGAAAATTGAAGATATTTCGTGCCTTCCTCCCTAGGGGCGACTCGTTTCTCGACACTTATGGTCGGCGTCCTCCGGGTGAGCAGGAGGCTTTTTACATAAAGTCCACACGTATAGGTATCGATCGAGGGCGGCCGGACAGGGTGTACGCAGATGACGACCCCCCGCGGCCCTCTTTCAGTCCCCTCTGACGCCTTTGCTTTCCCCCTTTCATTATGTAAGTGCGTAATGCGTGCTCGCGCGGACCTGATAAGGGGGCCTCTTTTTAAATTGACCCCCTAACTTACTGTGATTAAACTTAATTTCAGTGTCCTGACACGAACAGCTCCTACTAACTAAGCTAATCCTCTTAAATATGATGCAAATCTTTGAAAATACCTTCAGTAATAATAAGAATTAGGAAAGTCAAACGTGTTACATATATCATTTGTCTTGACTTTTCTCCTTGCTAGTAACATATGCATAATTTAAGAAGGAATCTACAATATTTTATACTATATTTTATTCAAATTTCCTAAGAGGAAAAATATTAAAATTGCTCTATTAAGAAGCTTACTTCCACAGTTATATTTGTAATCATAACTGCGTCTTCGACCCTTTCGTTAAATGAAAATGTATTGAACAATTCCAAACGCCAAAACTTTCTTAAAACACGGAAAAGATTTATCAATATTAATAATTTTAGAAGAGAAATTAGGTAAAGAAGTAAAATCTTCATTGGTTGTACGAACTTTCTTTAAGATTGATGATAGAGATGTATTTATAAAGTCAACGACAAAATAATGAAGGTATATCATTAAATAATCATTTAATTCAATATAAAAACAGATAGTTTAAATATGAAAGTAAGTAGAACATAAAAGTAAAACACCAGTAGCAATTCATTATGATCATGTGAGAAAAGTTTCGTATTCCATAGTTTCATTCAAATTGTTAAGATCTCCGATTAAGTGTTATAAGATATAGGCTTTGAACCCAGAACACACGAGTAAGAAAATTCATTTACCTTTACGTTTATTCTGATCAATTAATAAATATAATTACGTTAGTTTTTTGGTAGTACCTAAGAGTTACTACGATAGAAATAAGATGTGGGTGATTAGAAGTTACTTTGAAGCTGAATATTTCGATCACCAAGCTAAGCTAAGCCTTGTTTATAGAACATCATAATTATTTTAAAACCATATTTAATGATATGCCGTGCTTCAACACGTGAAAAGACATAAGTAAGGGTTCCTTCAAAGACTTCTGAAACCTTAAAACGGTCAATATTCTTGAAAATTAATGAAAAATCTTTAATATGATAAAAGTTTCCGAAAGCATCTTAATTACTAGAAAGAACTTAACATATGTATTTGTCACTTATATTATTAACTGATTTATATATAAGACTAATTGGCTCATTTTTAACCAATAAATATAGCCCCGTCTTTACGCTATGCTCAGCAAAATCAGCGAATTGCCGTGTGGTGGCAGCGTAAGAGAATCGAATACCAAATCTCTGGCAGTGCGTGTTGAAAGAGATGACTGTGAGAATTGTCAGAAAAATCAAATTCCTTCTTCTTCTTCCTTCAACAGATAATGGCACAATCATCGCGTTTATGCCAGACGTAAAAAAAACTGACCGATGGCGGACTGTAAACAAAGACGTGAGAGGTCTTGAATTGCGATCGTCAGCCTGCCTGCCAAGTACAGCGATGGAGGCAAATTGTTCCTGTAATCAGATAGTTGGATTATTCAGACCGATTATTAAGAATAAAAAGAATTTAATATTACGTTTTTCAGCACTAAAATTGTTAACCGCAGCTTTCAATAATTTACTACGTAATCCGCAGCAAAGAAAATGTTGTGAGATGAAAATACAAAAGCTATATTAAAAATTAGAAAATTAAAAAACATTTTGAGGACATGTGAAGTCTTTTTACACACCTTGGAGTAGCGCGTAAACCTTGTCTCATCTAAAAATCCTATCAGGTATGAAAGGTTGCACATGGACATCATTGGAGCTATAAGCTTTTTGATATTTCTTTCCTTGACACGGTCCTTTCTCACACGTCACCGGTCTGAATATTTTGGATCTAGTTGGATTTTTATAGCAGGTGTCCCTTGAGGATCGATACTTGGCACTTTTTGTTCTTGATCTAGACGAAAGTGATATTTAGTGTGTTGTACATACAAAAGTTTTGAGATGGTTCTCCTTGCTGATAATAACTTCAGCAAGCAAATGGCCCAATCAAATACAGGCAGTATAACACAAGCAATTTGTTTATAAACGCAGAAAAATCAAAATGTTTATAGTATACAACATAGACTTAGAATAATATACTGGCGGGTTGCACTGTCTAATTGGTTTTAGTTTGGCAGCAATTCTTGGTATTTCTATTGAATATTCAATAGGAAGCACATATAGTATATCAGTTAGTATATCAACTAGCTATAAAATTAAGTTCTATCATTTTCACTAATGGAAGGATAAGAAAGCTGACTAATGAATTAACATCTAGACTAGTTTACATTGCTTCCTATCACATAGATATCTACATCCGAATTGGCAACAATATACGGTGTGCAAAAGAAAGCAATAATATAAGCAATCTACAACTAAAGTCCTCGCGGGTCACTACGTGACTTTTTCAAGGGCACTAATATTTTGACAATTTCGTCTTTGTTTATTCATCAAAACAAGAATGTGCGGAAAAAATACAACCCTTCATAAGTCCACTGCATGGGTCTCCCCCAAGGAATGTCACAAAGCACGGTCCTAAACCACTTACATCCATCGACTTCCTGTATATCTCACCAGTTTATCACTTTATCAAGGGAGGGGGGCTATATATTTTATTTACCGGTATGAGGTTGAATAACATACCTGATGATTGCGCAGAAATAATGAAATATAACTTTTTTATGTTATATATTTTAAAGGTTGTGTAAAACTGTCGGCTAATGAAAGAAAATGTTTAAACCTAGGGACTATGTAATATAATGTACAATAACATTTCAAAAAGACTGAATGGAGACTGTCAGGGGAATAAAATTACAGCGGAGCTTCTGAAAGCGGGTGGAAAACCGATACTCAAAGTTCTTCACAAGCTCTTCAATTTCGCCCTCCATGGTGGCACTACTCCGGAGGCGTAGAGCAGAAATGCGGTGGTCTTGTTCTTCAAGAAAGTGATAACACTCTCTTGAAGACCTACAGACTGATTTCCCTTCTGAGCCGCGTCCACGTGCTATTTTTGAGAGTCATTACGAATCGTCTCGCACGCAGACTCGACGACTTTCAGTCTTCCGAACAAGCTGGTTTCCGAAAAGTCTTTAGTATCCATAGACCACATACATACACTGCCACAAATTGTACAGAAGTCCGAAAAGTATAATCTGCCACTATGTCTTGCCTAAATTTGCGTACCGAAGACGTGCACTATCCCGGGCTCATTTTACAGTGAGCCAGGGATAGTGTACGTCTTCGGGTAATGATAGCGGCTGTGCTCGTGCTACCCGAAAATGGCAGCCACAACCGCTAATCACCAAGTTACCGTGCCAAGACATCGATAATTATAATTTAAAATACCGTTACGCTGCAACTAATCCGTAAAGCAAATAAATGTATGTTGCTAATTAATTAGTTAATTTAAAGACGGGTCTTGTGATTCAATTTCTGAGTTATCGTTTCGCACGCTCCATATGGCATATCAGGTATACTCGTATTATAATCATCAAGCAAAACAAACTCACAATGCGGTAAGTCGATAAATAATCGTAGAATATACTCTGAGCAGATGCTTGGTCCTTGTTTTGTGGTTTTTTTTTAGAGATTGTTTCAAAAGACATATTTTTATGAATGATGGATAGGAATACATAACGTAGTTCAATCCAAACCAGTTATATAAATATGAAAGCTACGTAAGTAAAATAGTCATGTTTTCAATTGGTTTGAAATTTAAAAACAATTCCATAACAAAAGAAAAACCAAAGTAAGACTCAATCGATGCTAGAGTAGCATAAACCGAAATTAAATCGTCAACATAAAAATCTTAATCATCACACAGAGTCCAATTCCACACCAATTAAATAATTTTACGTTTTTAAATCTAAATAATATTTAATAATTTTAATTTTCTATAGTTAAATGTTAAGGGTAGTAACTAGGAAAATATAGACTCCACAAGACAAACTTGTTTACTTCAAGATTTACGAGTGTCGACAATATGAATATGAATAGCCCCATTCTATGAATAAGCCATCTAAGTTGTAATCTGTTACACACAATTTGTTTGTTATACATTGCGCACGACATGTATTCAACCAATATCTTGCAAATAAGCAAACCAGACATGAACATGAAACATAATGAAATAATAACGGTAAAATAAGACCAATTTATGAGATATTTACATTAACAGGGAAGATGAACCTGTGAAATGATTTCCAATTTTCACCCGATACTAAAAAAATAAAGATAAAAAGTAAAAACAGTAGTGTATAGAGTTGACAAGCATATGCCCAAAAATAGTATTAATAAGTATTTAAAAAATAAACATTTGAACTAAAATATTCGGGATAATAGCATATAGATTTAATGACCAGATATCACTCGTTTAATTTTTTTAACGCTTCTTCTGGTCTAACATGTAAAATAGGTGAATTTTCAGTGAATTATCCAGGTCTTGTTCTGACTGTAAATTAAAATAAGACATTGCAACAAAGACACAATGTCCAAAGAACTTTCACCAGTGAAAGTTGTAGATTCAAGTGAGGTTTCAAATTTCGGAGAAGAATTGAGATGTTTCCAAGAAGAGATGTGCCAGACCTACGAAAAATTTCGGCCACTCAAAGAGGAACTTCGTAACATAAAACGCGTGTCAGCTATAGCGATACTCGTTTAGATAAGCTGGAGAATACGATCCAAACTATCCTGGCATCACATGGGAAATATAGCTCACAAGGATTCAAAAAAGAAATCCTGATTCCTGATACTCGAGTCGACAGTCAATCTGATGGAAGTCGACTTAAATGATAGGGACCAGGGGCTGTTAAGAAACGACCTGGAGTTAAGTGGAATTCCAGAGGAGAGTGGGGAGACATTTGGTTCTGGTATGTGTCTCCAAGCTTGGGATCCACTAAAAGAACGAGAACTGGTCACTTGTATGCAAGTGTGGGACATTCGCGAGGACGCCGCATCCCCTCCACATCCCTCGCCTTGCGGCTGACGTGCTACACGCTGTTTGCGTTTGCTGGTATCTCACAACCTAGGTTCTAGGCTTTAAATCCGCGCCTTGCAAAATTTATATAAACGAACGACTGACTAAAACAAATAAACTAAAAAGTAGAGACTAAAAAAGTGAGGCCGAATTTTGCACGCTGAGATGCAGGAGATTTAACGCGCATATCGCATAACTGTCTCTCACTTTACTAACAAAAGAATGTTTTTAGTTTATTTTATTGCTTATATTACTTTTCACTTTTGGAGTATGCGCTCAGTATTCCTATATTTCCAAAGCTAGCTTTATTTACAAATTCGAACTAATACGCAATTAGATTTAAAAGTTTAAGTTTAAGTATAAATATTTAGGCCAAGTTAACGTAATAAACTATTTGTATTTCTATTTACTGTCATAAAATATTTACAACCCACATATGTCATTTGTTATAGTGTCTTGCTCGTTTATTAGTGTAATCTTTGTTTGTGTTTGCCAAAAAAGTAATGGATAGTACGATAGTACCGCGCCGATTGTACAATATTCAGACTCCTTGTTGTTGTTGTTATATGTGTAGTAGTAGGTCAATGTCTGTAGGGTCGATAAGTTTTTATATTTGTGAATCTTCCTTTATAACCTCCCAGATATTATTTTTTATGTTTTTATTAAGGCTTTAAATGTAAGAAAATATTTATATCTTCCAGATTCTACCCGTGACAGGAAATCTTATGTTAGTGCTTCTCAATGAAGGTTCTTTAGAAAAAGACTATGAAGGTTGGAATTAGTAGTAGCTTTTGATCGCGATACAGTTGATATGATGGCAATTGAGTAGAAATCTGGTTGCGTGTGGCGCGCACCACAATATCGAATACGTTATTTTCCTCGACCGTTTTTAAAAAAAAAACTTAGTGAGTTCTTAAAATACTATATCATGAGCCAATGTGTACCTAACCCACTTATTTCGCCATCGCTAACATTAGAACTTTAATCGTATTGATGCTTTTAGGAAACGTTTCTAAATTGCTCCTTGGTCTGTTTCTGTAAACATCCCAGGAGGACGACTTTGGTTAACTAAAAGCAACAATTTCATAAGTTGCTGATGCTTTAATAATAAAGTTAGGCTTAGCAGGTGATTAGAGATGATATAATTATAAAGTAGCTCTTTCATTTATTTGAGTGCTTCCCCAGGCTTTAACATCACAACCAATTACATGTTCGGCGCTTACCAGCAGGCTGTTAGCAGCTCGTTGTTGCAGTACTCTGGAACAGCTAAAGTTCAATGTTTTTACCCCAAATTATATAATTCTGTATCAACTGCCCGTAGTATTGACTAAAATTTTACAAGCAGCTGACAATCTCAGAACTTGACCGTTAGGCACCCAAAGCTCTTGTATGAGGGCGAGGTCAATGTTGTCCTCTGCAAAGCAAACCTTCACTATGGTAGAAGCAGCTCCTACGTGGTGAAGATTTGCCTTGATAACTCCCTTTGTTTACCATTACCCTTTGGCTTAGCCATTTACGCCATATCCCTTTCTGTTAACCATGATTGACACAAGCGGAAGCTGTCGACCTGAGGCAAGATCAGCACCTGGAATCTCAGTCACTCTCGCCGTTGCCGTCCCAAGCTCACTCCGCAAAGTGAAAGGCGGGGGATTGGAGTTGGAGCGGTTTAGGTTCTAGTACCGCATCAAAACCGCCCTGATCCTAAAAGTTATCATTTTAAAACCAAAGACGACTTTGCTGCCTGCCAGTTGGATAGCTTCGACCGATGAGCCGTCTAGAGAAAATGTTACTAGGAACCCACTCTCCTCGTGCCTGTAGTGGAGGATTTTCCAGAGCCGTGTATGAAACCCTCATTTTATGCTATCAACACCTCTTTTGAAGAGTCAGCTTCGTTGCGGGGCAAATATGTAATAAATACAAATAGGAAGTTTGTCCTCAGGTATTATTGAGAGCTCTGTTTTCGGCCAAGGTTTCAGTTTTCCAACCTCACCTACAATTTAGTCCTGGCTTGTTTAATTCAGGAATGTTATCAGAATACAATCTGGCTTGTAAGTGAAACCGGAAAATTTTGGTCCTGCTTCAGGTTGCACCCCACAGGTTAGTTTTAGCGATAGCCCATGTTAGTGCGCGTTGAACCAGCCGCATCTCCTCCAAACTCATAGGATTAGAACTTCGGATGCCTACAGGTGCGGATCTAGCTATGGCATTGAAGCTGAGTTTCTTCTCTCCCGTTGCCAGCTTTACAGTTTTCCTCCAGAGACACCTCCGCAGACCGACTGCGTTTCTTGTCCTTATGGTCCGCGGGAGGATTGGAGAGAAGAATCTCGGTGCAAGGCTTCTGGCAGAGAGAGAGGGCCTCTTCGGCTCCTATGTCAGCTTCTGTCAGTCTCCTAAACCGCTCCCGTGCTATCGCACAAAGCTTCTAAGGCCCAATGAACATTTTACTGTCCATTCCCTGGTATTTGTTTCCGATTGTGGTTCAGCTATAGACGTGCCCTCCCCTTTACGGCTCGTCCCAGGTTAAGGCGTAGTATTACAGGGTATTGAGGAGGCTATAAGAGACTCTTCCGAACAAGCAGGAATATCCATTAAAGAGAATGCGTCTCAAAATGTCAATATTTTCCGTCCATTTCGTTCTCATACACAGCTAGGGAAATAAACGGTGACCACCGGTAGAGCCCCGCATACCGGGGGAAGGGCTAAAATACTACCTGAATCACCATGGTCTCGAGTATGCACCGTTTACGACTGGACTTCTTTCCAGCACGCATCCATCGGCATGGTACGCCTGACACCTTTGATTGGATTATGATAGGGAAAAGGAGGTCGAGGGAGAAGAGAGTCATCTGAGTGTTTCTGTTCTATCTGTTTACTATTGGGGAAGAGCAGCTAAAACTGTATGAGCTATATGAAAAGTCGCAACATTCCGCCCCATCCTATTACCGTCCCATTTCTTATATAAATCCTATAATTTACTCTCAGTGCGCCAGTTATTCGTTGTGAGTACGTCACTAAAATATCACTTAAAATTGCCCTACAGAAGAGAGGTTACTGATAAAAGACGCAAAGATAAAGTAATTGAAACTAACATTAGAATAAGGCATTCTTTCATGCATGGATTTTTTACATTTCTTAGCCCTTTGTATAATAAAGTCGATAGCATATTAAAAATGGCAGATTATAAAAATGTATTTTGAACATGGTTACAAAATTTGTCACACTATGATACGTAAAAGTTGCAGATTGTTTTAAGTTAATGAATATCATAAGAATATCATAAGTTTACAAAAATAATCCTAATTAGTTGGTATAATGATAATATATTTTACCGAAATAACCCTAATTAGTTGGTATGTTACATATTTTATAGAAACAGAAAATATTTGTTAATGTATCTATTAGCTTATACACCTGAGATACAGGTTTATCCTAGTTCAGGTGCCTGTTTTGTGTAGACTATTTTAAATAAAGACATTATTTGAATTAATTGTATAGTTTATCGAAATAAAAAATATTATTATAAGTTATTATTATTATTGAACCAGACCGAATAACATGCGGCAAGCACGTAAAGGAAGAACTCCTAAGATTTGCACTGGATATCATTACGACCTGCGCTCACCCCCAGAGCCATCCGCTAGTCTGCTCACAGGACAGGAGTGCAGAAGTGTTATCCTAGTCCTACTTATAAAGAAAAAGTAAGAACTATGGGTAGATGAACCCCCGAACAAAGAAACCCTATACTCTTTATTTAAAATTGTATTTAAAAAACAATAAAAATACACATTGATATTGAATGGAGCAAGGAAATTATATGACATTTCTTTGTATTTTTCTTCGCGACAAAATATCTTTTTCGGCTAGTACCTGAAATATGATATCTGTCAAAAAGTTTCAACGCAGCAACTGAATCGTATCCGTTTTATCAGTCATATAAAGGCTTTTGAGCTGAAACGCCCCTATACACTTACGTACGTCCAAAAAATTGCTCTAAAAATGTCTACATCAATGTATGCTTCAGGTCCGACTTAACTGTCTATGGTACTTTGAACTCCAACAGTCCAACACGTAAAAACTTGTATAATATTTGCTTATTCCAAAACTTTTCCAGTCATTTTTCATTTTTCAGCAGCACGTAAACAAAGGTATTTACAAAACTAAGGATATTGTTTCATCATCCCATCATCATCATCGTTATTACACCCCTTCAGAATATTGTTTAACGACAAATAAATCAATTAGGTCTACCTACGAAAATGTTTTCTATAAAATAAGTTAACGTAATTTTTTTCCATATTTTTTATTTCTATTAATCAAAGTAACCACACATGTAATCGATTCATCTTTGCCAACGCAGTGGCAGTTTATCCATGCCCTTCTTCAGAAGAAATCAGCTAGACGGAAGGCATTCATATTCCATATTCCATAATTACTCGAATTTTTATCGTATCCATGATGACGAAAAAGATTCAAATGCGATGAAAATATGACGCTAATCAATAAAAAAATGTTTTTTTAATATCCATGTTTTTAACAAAATTAATTTCAATTTTGAAAAATTTTTATAAAATTTATTTTGATTTGAAATGGCCAGTAGGTCGGCCATTTTATAACCTATTATAAAATTCATTATGGAGTAGAAATAGAAAAATCTAACGCATAGCTTGTAATAAAAAAAACACGGGAGTGTGTCAGTCAAGTTTAGAAAAGTAAAGGGCGACACACAGGCTGTGTGTACATCAATTCGTAATTGTACTTTTGACTTACTCTATTTAAAAAAAATCCTTTAAAAGAACTGCGGAAAATCCTCGTTATACTAAGCCAGTGAATATAGTGTTGTAGTTTTATTCATAAAATCCCTAAATATCTATGTTGACGAATATGTATGTTTACATGGTTTACACGAAAACGTAATCTCTAAGGTTTCTTTCAGCACTTATAAAAGTTTTTACTGTTTAATTTTTAACTTTAAATGGTAATATTTAAATGGTTGTGCAAGGCGGATTGGA